CGTTTAATTAAATGAAGTCGTTTACATTAATGTTTTGTCATTACTTGGAGGCGTCTCTAGGAGTCAAGATGTGTGGCACAGAGGAGCACTGGGTACAAAATTCATTACCCAAATGGATGGCGCAGGTGCCTTTTGGCATTTGCCTGCTGAAGAGCATGAATTTATCGTGTGAATAAGAGTGTAATGAACCCCAGCGCCACTGGCCATGGAGCGCACCTTAATTCAGTTCACGCTCACCCGTAACTGCATCAAAATTCCATTTTCACTTCAGCGGTGTGCATCCTGGCCACAAGGCAGGCTACTAAATGCGACTAAATTGAGGGACGAATGTCAATTAAATCCGCATGGACATGGACCGCCTGTGTGTGGCAATTAGGTTCTGGGTGCACAGAGCGTGATCCATCCTTCTGCCGTGTCAGGTGTGCGCCCTGCACCCTCTGGGTGCATGCATTATCAAGTTCAATTGGCAGTAAGCTGAGTTTATGAATCCAAAATCGCATTTTGACTTCGCAGCTCGTGAATGCATCGATAATTCCAGTGTCCAGTCTCGTGTTGCCTTCCCCACTGCTGCTTGTAGCAGTTACAAAAGTGAATGTGAATGTGAATGGAAACTGCAACCAACCAGAGACAGAGAGCCATTGTGCTCCAGCTACTGTTCCATGTGCCATTGTGTCTCTCACATCGAACTGGCCTGCAAGAGGCTTAAGATTAATATCGAAATCATGTTGCTCCTGCCGCTGCTGTTCATCGTTTGCCGTATCCAATCGATGTTGCTCTGAACATTCGTATAGACGGAGGGTGTCCGGCGTGAAGCACAGCCAAAGGGATAGGTGACGATGCCAAACATTGTGTTGCCCTTTATTAGCGGTGCGCCAAGATCACCGGAGCAGGGATGGGAGTCGTTGCCCCCATTGTTGCCGCACATCATGCCGTACTTGAAGGACTTTAGCTTGCTCTGGCAGTACGTTTGGTTCTGCAGCAGCACATCGATCTGCAGGATGTTCGAGGCCAAGGGACCGCCCTGCAAAACATAGGAAAGAAAACTCTATTAGCGAGTAGAATCCCTTATTGTGTAGCTCTCTTGCCGCGTATAGCCTGCCCCAGCCCAGAACTGTGTAGTTGGAGCCAAGCTGCGGTGGGGTGGCGGGCAGTTGGAGGTATCCAATGCGTGGATTGCCAGTGGGCATGGCATACTTGAGCCGCACCATTGCGATGTTGTCTGTGTTCAGCATCGTAAAGTTCCGTGGCACGTGCAGCGACTGCACCGGACTGCAGACCGTCTTGCCCGTAACGAACTTCAGACGATTCGGTGACCCAGCCACCACCATCAGCACACGCGTCTTGAACATGGTCTTTGAGGCGCTAAAGAGAGCACAAAGTCAGCTATGGCCTAGTCCTGGTCCTCTACCTACTCCATGGTGCAGTGCGCGGAGGTCAGCACCCAATCGGGCGTCAAGAGGCCACCGCCACAGTAGTGATTGTCGCCAAAGTAGCGCACTGGGGTGCGGGATCGTATGGAGACTACATACTTGGCCAGGCTCAGTGTTTCCATGTCGAAGTCGGGCAGGGACAGGCGCTTCACGCGGCCTCCAGTGTCGCTCCAGGCAGCTGCCAGCAGACTTAAAATCGTTAACACTTTCAAATTTGTGCAATTCATTGCTAGAGAAATGTGTAAAAAATATACAAAAATGCACAGCAAAACATTTGACAGTTCGATCGAGGACTAGCGCAAGGAGACATCGGGCAGTTCCTTCCTTCTATCTGGCTTTCTCTTCTTTTGTTCTAATCCCCCCCCTCGATCCCCTTTACCCCCTGCCCGCGTGTTTGTGCAAGCCTCGAAAGTATGTTTTAAGCAAAAGTTTGTTTTTTTTTTGGGCCAACAACTTTTGTCAAAGTATTTTGCAGCTCTCTCTCTCTCTCTCTCTTAGCTGGAATATTTTCATTTGCTGCGGCAAAGCTACACCAAATAATTGAGGTTTAGTTTTGCTCTGCCACTGCCCAACCCCCCCTCCCGCTCTCTATCCCCCTCCATTTTTGTTTTTTTTTTGTTTGCCCTTTTCGGACACTCGGTTACGGCTGCAGGGGCCGTGGCACAGCCTGTGATGATTTTGCGGCAAACAAATTTATTGACAATTCATGGGGAGGGTTTATCCCTTATCCCTTCCCTCTACCCCCCCTCCCTCTCTCTCTGCGATTGCGGTTGCGAGGCCGCTCAAGCGTTTTGTTGAACTTTTGCGCAAGTTTGTCGCAAGTTTCCGTTTCCGGGTGGCAGGCCATGACAAAGTGCCGCACATTAAGCTGTAGATTTTTCATTTTTCTTCGTTTCTCTCTCTCTCTCTTATCACTGTCGCCAGCAGGCAAAGACAAGCGCAAGACGCAAAAGAGCGCAAAAGTTTAAATTAATGACACTCGACTATTAGCAAAATTAAAAACTCTCGAGATTATGTCTGCAAACTGCGGTCAGAGATGAATTCATGTCTCCACTCTGTACACTCCACTCTCTTGTCTGTGCCGTGGAATCAGGACAATTTCTGTTGACAGCGCCTCAAAGCAGGCAACAGGCTCGCAAATTGCCTATGACGCAGGCAACAGTATGAGGCAGAGCTGCTGCAGCTGTTGCAAGGACAAAGTTTCACCAATTCTAGACCCAACATTGAAATGCACTCGGCAAGGGGCAGCAGAGGAAACAGAGCCTAAACTTTTGCCAAGATGGCTGCCAGGCAGCAGCAGCAGCAGCAGCAGCAACTTCAAGTTGCAGCCACATTTGTTGTTGCAAACGAAGAGCGGAGCCAGAGGACATTTATTAATAAAACATTGAGGATAAACCACATTTATTTCTTCCTGTCTGTTGTCTGCCTACGGCGGACCACCTCGAGTGTCCTTCGTCTGTGAAATTAGTTAATAAATAACGCGGTCAAGTTGATTTGTGTGTTGCCATTAAGCGAAAATTAATTAGAAATTATAGCCAGCAGCTGGGGTGGGGGAGGGAGCTGCACGGGGGGGGAGCGGAGTGGAAAGTGGAAAGTGGAAAGTGGAAATTCATGTCGGTGGCAGTTGAAGGACAGCTGGCGCCAGGTGTGCCAAAGTAATTGACATTTTTTTTTGCATTTCACTCGCACTTCGCGACACAAACAAGGGGAGTCCCCAGTCTGCCCATCCGCTGTTTGGCAGCGTAATTGAATTACGGCAGAAGCAGCAGCAGCAGCGGCAGCAGCAGCAGCGGCAGCCGCATGGACAATAATTAAAAGCGGTCCGCCAATAATCAATTGCCCCAGCCAGGCCCCAGATGGCACTCAGCTGGAGGCAGGTGGGCGGAAGGGCGACAGACAGAGTCTCGGCAAAAAGAGCAACAGGCAGGCATGGGGCAAGAGCAGCGAAGTACTCGTAATAGAAATAAATTGGCGCCGCACGCAGTTCGATGGCGACAGCCAGGCAGACAGCAGGACAAGGCACAGGGAAGAGCAACAACTTTGGACATTGTCTTGCTGTTCGACAGTCAAGTGGGCACTTGAGCTGCTCCTACTTTATTATAGAGAAAGAAACAGAGAGACAAAGAGAGAGAGAGAGAGTGGAGCGTAGAGGCACAACTCATGAATTTCCAAGTGGCGAGCGAAGCCAGTTGCCAGGCAGAGGCTGAACAGGCAGGCAGCTGCACGACAGGTGGTCACACGCAGTCCCAGTCCGTGCACCCTACACCCTAGCACCCCCACCCGCACCCGCACCCCCCTAGCGCGCTTCTTGCATGGCACGTAAACCCCTAAAAAACTAGAACTTGGCTATTAATATTTGTGGAATGTTGTTGAATATTTGTTAAGTTAAAGTTGAAAGTTGAAGCCACCAAGCAATACCAATACAACCACCAAAACCACTCCACCACCACCACCACCACCACCCATAACAACTAATACCACCACCCACTGTTACCTCACTGTTTCTGTGATTTGTGTTCGTTCCTTGCGTGTGTCCTTGTGTGCTCCTCCTGCTGTTCGTTTTGGAGCAACTCAAAATAAAACCAAAGAAAAGGCAACAAAAACTGTTATTGCTCCCTCTTTCTCCCTCTCTCTTTCACTCTCTCTCTCTCTCTCTCTCTTTGTGCATAAACATAAATCATTGTGCAATCAAATTGCAAATTAATCAAAAAAAAACATTGGGCCGCGGACTGCAGCTGATTCGGCGACGTGCAAGTCCAAGGCAAGGGCCACGCCCAGCCTGAGGCGTGACGCGGCCATCGATGGTGAAGCGACAGATGACAATGACAGTGGCCGCCACCTGCAACTCGATGATGATGAACGATGGGCCAATGCCCGGCCACAGGCTGCTGCCCCATGCCCCAGAGCCACAGCAATAGCAACACGTCAGAGCAGCAGCAACAGCAACAGCAACAAAGGAACTTCAAGTGGAAGTGGAGCAACTTCTCATAGATTAGCGCCGAGAGCGAGCTTCCCGGAAATCATGCAGCCGCGTCTCTCCCTCAATGGATTGCTGAATCCCTCGCTGATGCCCTCGCCCCGGCCACTGTATCGGGATCACAGTTCGCGCTCCATCAATCCGCTGACCGCCTACGAGCAGCAGATGGCCGAGCTGGATGGCAGCTTCTACGCCAGCAATGCGGCATATTTGGGCGGCAGTGCGGGCGGGGCCACAACCTGCACGAATCTGACAGTGGGTGGCACATCGCCCAGCGGTGGTGGTGGTGTGTCCCATGGTGGTGGTATCAATATTGGTCCTGGTGGAGCTAGTGGTGCTCCTGCCATACACACAACCGAACTCTCAATTACGCCCACAATGGCCAACGATGAGCAATTCATCGATTTGGGCAGCCTGCGACGCTTCTCAATCGATCGCCAGAGCTTTCTCGGTAAGGCTCGCAGCCCCGTGCCCCTCTATCCCTCTGCCCCTCTGTCCCTCTGTCCCTCTGTCCCTCTCCTTTGTAGATCTCTCTCTCGCTCTTGCTGCGCTTTCTTGATTATTAATCCAATCTTCCACCTTTCCCCTTGTAGATTTAGGACCAAAGTTTGGCATGTCCCAGCCGAAATTCGGCCAGAGCGTCTCGCAACAAGGTTTCTTCACGTCGCACGACAGCCTGGCCACACCATGCCACAACTCGAGGGCCAGCAACTCGCAGATGGCCACCGTAAGCACTGCCTCCGAAATGGATCTACTGCACAACAGCAAGCAACGCGGCGGCTGCCACAAGTCGCGCGGCCGACTGAAAACAACAACCAGCGGCGATCAGCCGCTACTCAGTGGCACCGGCACCTGGAATCGATCGACACACGGAGGACGTGGCTCACAGGATAACACGCTGGCCAGCGGTGGCAACACCAATCTACCCATGGCCATGGGTGGACACAATCAATACGGCGGCAACTACTGCAACGGCACAGATCGGTAAGCAAACACAGAGATACAGATAGAAGGATCCCCCCCCCCCCCCCCCCCCCCCCCCCCCCCCTCCGTTCGAGCTTTATTCTCTTTATCTTCTCTGTCCACAGTTATCCTCGCTCACGGTCGCAGCATCAGCAGTCGCAACATAATGTTGCACCCGCTGCACCGCATCGCTATCAGCTGCAGCATTCGGCATCGCATCACATGCACTCACATGCAGCAGCCGCACAGGGCGCCGGGGACGGACAGGGCGGACACGGCGGACACTCGCATCATGGCGGACACCATGGAGGGGGAGGCCCCGGCAGTGGTGGGCCACACGGCGGCCAGCCGCATCACAAGAAGCCACACCGCACCGCCTCGCAGCGGATTAGAGCGGCGACGGCTGCCCGTAAGCTGCACTTTGTGTTCGATCCGGCGGGGCGGCTGTGCTACTACTGGTCCATGGTCGTGTCCATGGCCTTCCTGTACAACTTCTGGGTGATAATCTACCGCTTCGCCTTCCAGGAGATCAATCGCAGGACGATTGCCATCTGGTTCTGTCTGGACTATCTGTCGGACTTCCTCTATCTGATTGACATTTTCTTTCACTTCCGCACCGGCTACCTGGAGGACGGGGTGCTCCAGACGGACGCCCTCAAGCTGCGCACCCACTACATGAACTCGACGATCTTCTACATCGACTGCCTGTGCCTGCTGCCCCTGGACTTCCTCTACCTGTCCATCGGCTTCAACTCCATCCTGCGCAGCTTTCGCCTCGTCAAGATCTACCGCTTCTGGGCCTTCATGGACCGCACCGAGCGGCACACCAACTACCCGAATCTCTTCCGCTCCACGGCCCTCATCCACTATCTGCTTGTGATATTCCACTGGAACGGCTGCCTCTACCACATCATACACAAGAACAACGGATTTGGTTCCCGCAACTGGGTCTACCACGACTCCGAGTCTGCGGACGTCGTCAAGCAATATCTGCAGAGCTACTACTGGTGCACTCTGGCCCTCACGACCATCGGGGACCTGCCCAAGCCGCGCTCCAAGGGCGAATATGTTTTTGTGATATTGCAGCTGCTCTTTGGCCTGATGCTGTTCGCCACGGTCCTCGGACATGTGGCAAACATTGTGACGTCCGTCAGTGCCGCACGCAAGGAGTTTCAAGGTGAGTTTCGAGCCCTGCTTCTGGCATTACTTTCCTATAAATTAAATTAAAGTGGAAATTCCATCGATATATTTTGCTCGCTGGACTACTTGGCCTGACCTGAATTCCAAACATGCCAAACAGCAAAGCTAATCGTTGGGCACAAAAGAGGGGGGCATCTCTCTCACACAGAAAACAATTTCATAAATTCCAAAAGCTTCAAAATATGCTCTGGTCCAGAACTTGTTGCGTGGGTGGAGGAAGACTCTTCAATTCTTTAGCAAAAATTGTATGCAAAATATTGAAATTTGTTGGCACTGCTGGCTGTTGGCTGTTGGCTGTTGGCTGCTGCCAGAGCAATGTTATGTCCCTGTTCATTGTGGCAAAGTCCAGTCAGCAATGGGGAAGGGACAGGAGTGGACTGGACTGGAGCAGTACTCCAGCTTGAGGCATCCTCTTGTAGGCGCAGTTGGGCGTGCGGCCATTAGCTAAATGAACTCGTTTACTCGGCAGGGGCCATAAGTAACTGGACGAAATGCAAGAGCAATCCAAGTCAGCTAAGTGGAAAATGCCAACAGAGAGGCCAGAGCCAGAGGCTGAGCAAACGGAGGGGAGGGAGGATGCTGTGGCCAGAAAGAACTGAGCAGGAGGAGTGCCAGTGGGCGTGGCAGTGGGTGGAGCTGCCTGCTTTGCTTTGCTTTTCTTTTGCTTTCATTAAGAGGCAACGTCAGCTGGAAAATATTAAAGCCACTCCACGGGGCGACAATGAGACACACAAAAGGGATGCCAGTGCGGGGAGGGAGAGGGAGAGAGAGAGAGAGGGCAACGCCAGGAATTGGGGCAAACAAAGCGCAATTGATGCCAGTGGGCGTGGCACCTAACTGGCAGTAGGTCTGTCTCTTGCTCTCTCTCTCTCTTGCTCTCTCTCTCTCTCTCCATGTTAGCTGCAGCCGCCAACTGGCATTCTCGCCTGTTTATACAACACTTTTCCATGTGTGTGTGTGTTTGTGTGTGTGTGTGTGTGTGTCCCATGTCCATGAGAAAGTCAGCAAGCAAAGCTCTTGGCGGCTTAATGGTCGAAACGTGCTGTGGAATTAATTTCTGGCTTTATGCTCCCTGCTGCCTGCTCTCTCTCTCTCTGTCTCTTTTTTCACCACTTTTTTCTTTTGGTTTTGTTGCATATTTTCAATATTTTATTGCGACAAATTGCGCATTTAAAACAAATTTGTCTGCGATTGACCACAAGACTGAAATGTGCAGGCAGAAGGTAGAAGGTGACAACTTCACCACAGGCAAGACGTCGCCCATCCCTTTCTAACGCTTGTCTGTCAGTGCGTGGTGAATAAGTGATTGGTTGCCCACCCCACACAGCACACAGCAGAAGCTGCTCATAGACTTTGATGGACTCTCTTCTGGCCACAAGAACTGCAATGTATTCAAGCGAAATGATGTGAAGGTGGAGCAAAAAGCATGGACAGGACACATAATCCGACTCAATCAACTCAAACTCAACTCAAACTTCACTCAACTGTGGCTTGGTCCTAATAAAACACTTGGGACTAGCTGAGGCAGCAATTGTTGTTACATTTGGCCAACTTTTGCCGCAAACTTAATGCATCCTGCGACGAGGATGAAGATGATGATGATGGTGATGATGATGGGTGATGGGTGATTGTAGGAAGCATGCAACGTTTCGTTGAACCATCCATCAATTTGTCAATTCAGCGGTTTGCGCTGAGCGGACAGCCACAGTGGGCGCAGGAGGAGGAGAAGGTACATAAATGATGACGAGAATGATGATGGCCAATAGTTGTGGAGTGGCTGCCAATAAAGAAAAGAAATCAAATTGAATGAATATCTGTCGATGCAACACTCTGCCGAAGCAAAGGTAAAATAATAAAACCCTAATAAAATCCAATGACTTGTCGAGGATTTAGAGCCAGGCTGCAAAGTGGAAAAGTTTGCTTTTGGGGAGTTTGTCTGATTTATGCCTCTGATTGGAGTCGCATAACGAATGATTAATGAGTTACATTTCACTTTGTTTTGCGTATCTCCAAAGTTTAAACTTAAACCAAGCAAAAGGCGCTACTCACGCTGCCATCCGCCTGCTAGTCATGGCTTAGTCCGGGTCCGGCCCATCATGCTGATGCAACCAGGATCCAACTTGAAGTAGACTCTGGCTCCGGCTCTTTCCTTTCCTGTTTCCTGCTTCTGCTTGGGCTTGGGGGGGGTGGGGGCAGAGGCATGAAAATTGATTTTCAAATAGTTGGTCTGCCTTTTTAAATTTGATTGACGTTATTACATTACATAACATCACACAAGCAGCAGCAGCAGCAGCAACAGACCCACAGGAAGGAGTGGCTGAAGCAGCTGCCTTAAGTTATTCATCCATTTAGCTTGGCTTGGGGCTGTATGCCAGTGGGGGGAGAGGTAGCAGTGTGAGGTGTAAAGGAAGTCGCAGATTAGGAAAGGAGAGGAAGGAGGCGGGCAGGAGGAGGGACGCGGCAGGCAACAACAAGTGGAAAACTGTCATTATATTTGAGTTATTGATGGTTTCTTTTTTATACAAAATCATTTTGCAACAATGTTGCACACACACACACACACACATGAGCGTTGAGTGGCAGCCACCACCCTAAACATCCACACTCCCCCCCCCACACACACACACACACACACACACACTGTTACATTTACGCTTGGTTAAACGCATGGCTCTTGGCTCCGCACTCCGCTCTCCCCCTCTGTGGCTTGTTAACGCCCGACAAGCGGCAAAAGTTTTGCCAGCGATAATCGACAAGCACACACACACACAAACACACACACACACACACACACACACACAATTGTGGCATAGAAGGACCTGAAACACGGGCCACACTGCCAGGCATGTTTTGGCAAGAATCCAAAATGAAAAACATTTCAAAAACTGGCATTTAAAATTAGGTAAATTCATCCGCTCCATCATGCTGTCTGTCCCACTGTCCAGGGGCTCCATTATGTAATTGTTATTGTAAATAGTTGCCATGGAATTTTGTGCACCCCCTCCCCGTCACCCGGCAACCGTCAGTCATCAGCCATCAGCCATCAGCCATCAGCAGGGCTGTCCGTCCGTCCGTCCGTCCGTCCGTCCGTCCGTCCGTCCGTCATCGCATTTCTGTCTGATTGATGTGTGCGGCGGACACACTTTTTTGTTGGCATCTGATTTTGCTGCAGCATATTTTCCCTCATTTGTTTACTTACTTATTGCAGCTGTGGATATTTGGGTATTCATATTTAAATATTTATTTCACTTTGAACCACATTCTGCCTCTGGCACAGTTTCGACACCCAATTCGATTTCCTTCTACTTTGGGCTTTTCCTCTACTCTTTGAAGACTCTCCTCCCAGCAGCTGCTGGGTTTATTATAGTCTTTGGACTTATTTATAGAGCCAACTGGTCAGCGTTCAGTTTTCATTTGCAATTTACGTCCCTCCACGCCTCATGGCTGGCCTGCTGCCCTGGCTGGGGCTTGGCTTTTGACCTCGCAATTAAAACAATTTACGCGCTCAATTTAAGCCAACACACAGACAGAGACACACACAGTCACAAAAAGATGCAGCAAAACGCTGGCGGAGATGAAGCTGCCGCTGCCGCTGCCGCTGCTGCTGATGGAGAGAAGTGCACCCTGGTGGTGGCAGGATGAGATTTGTAGTGCCTTTGCCCAGCTATTTTTGACTTGCTAAACGTGCAACGTGCAAGTAATACTATAACGGACAAAGTGTTGCCGTTTGCTGTGGGGCCCTCGTCCCTGTTGTGGCAGCTGCCGCACAATCGCTCGCTCGCTCGCTCGCTCCCTCTCTGGCGAGGTTGCCACTAAAAATAGAATGCGAGGCAAACGAACTGAGTCAAGAACGCGTTGCCAAACATTTTGGTGTGGCATCGAAGGCAGTGCACGAGTCCTGCCATTGTTCGCGCTTACACTTGGCTCGAATGGAGATTTGCCTGGCTAATAGCTTAGCCATTCGACGGTGTCCTGCAGGGTCTCCTCCAGCGTGTCTTCCAGGGTGTCTCCTTGTGCGACTTACTCCTGGCTGCTTTTACCTCGTCCCTTCTTCATGTTGGCCAACTCAAAGTCGAGCAGGCGGACATCCAAGCCCCGAGCCCCGGCCCCGAGCCCCCAGTGTTGGGGCCAGGCGACGTCCATTATCCACTTTAAGTTGCCAGCCCTTGCTGCGCGTGTCTGTGTGTGTTGGTTGAGCTTGGTTTGTGTTTGTTGTTCGTTTCGCTGTTTGCTTTTGCTTGCCACAGCAATGTCCAACGGAGGAGCAGGAGGCTGTGGCTGTGGCTCTGGCTCTGGCTCTGTGTCGCTGTGTTTGCTTCTGGTCATGCCCTCCAGCTGTAACCATGCATGAGACTGTATGTGTGTGTGTGTGTGCTGTCTGTGTGTTTGTGTGTTTGTGTGTGCGTGTTTTGCGGATTCCAATCAATATCGTAGACGCAATCGCCGCTGGTTGTCCGCCGCTTCTGCCCATTAAGCCCTGCATGTACACCAACTTGCTGCTGTCGTATTTTTAGAACACGCCGCCACTGGGTTATTCTTGTTGTAGAATGCTCCTCCTGCTGCTCCCTCTTGCTGATGCTGCTGCTCTTTAAGGGCCACAGCTTTCCATTATCCTTGAATAGCGAATATGCCAAGGATTTGTGCTGGAAACTGCCATTGCCTCCTGCCTTCTGCTTTCTGCCTTCGTGTCGTTGATGATGCAGCTGGCATGCGCATTGTTATTGCTGGCACGGCGCTGGATTTTGCATTTATTTTTAGTTGCCGCCCGAATAAATCCATCCAGCACTTCGCGGCCATTGTTTGGCGCTGCCTCTTCAGGTGCCACCGAGGACGCCACAGCAGCTGCCACTGCCACCGCCACCGCCACCGCCACCGCCGCGGTAAATGCATAATTAAGCAGGACAGAAATCAGAAATGGAATCCAACAGGCAGCAGCAGCAGCTGCTGATATTCGCGGGCGATTCCCTCAATTCCTTGTCACTCCTTGTCTTCCTTTTGTTCACCCCCAGGGGCCAGACGACTTCCTGCTTTGCCATAACACATCAGCCATCAGCCATCAGCCATCACCCAGTGTTAAGTGGTTTCCAGTTAGTTTGCAATATTCACATGGCTCCTCCCACTCCCACTCACACATTCCTATTCAAAGCCCGAGGTTTTTCCTCTGCTTTTTCCGGTGCATGCTGCATGCTGCGGCTGTGCTTTATGAATAGATCTTGGAACTTTTTGTCACGCATATTTACTGTTTGTTTGTGGCCCAACACACTGAGAAACTTGCTGCAGTTTGTGCCAGACAATGGCAGGGAACTTTTGCTCGCAGGAGCCACAATTGTTCTCCTTGGACCGAGTTGATCCCTCGGTGGCAATTGGCCAAAGTTCCCCCTCCGCGTGGAGACAAAAGTTGAGTCAAATGTAATTATTGGTTGCAGTTCGTTGCAAGTTTCTCTGGTGACTTTCTCCTCTGCTCGTGAAGGTGACTCAGTCAGCGGAGCAGCAGATCATAGTTCGCTGTGGGCAAAGGCAGGGGAAGCAGAGCATGAAATGAAAAATAAATAAGAAATAAGCAAAATGTTGAAGCCAAATGCAGTTTGCCATAGACCAGGACCATACTTGGTCCTCAACGACGACAACTGCTGCCTGGCAGCAGCCACGTGACCTGAGGGCAAAAAATGGCAAATTAAATTTGCTCGCAAGATGCAACGAAATGGAAACGAGAGCGGGGAGGTAGGAGAAGCAGAGGGGTAGCAGCAGCAAGCAGCAAGCAGCAAACGAAGCTGAAACGGAACAGGATAAGCTCTGTTCAGCCACAGAGCAGGAGTAGGAATTAAAGCTTGAGTAATTTCGAAAAAACATTCAAAATGCAAGGAAGATACATTCAGGAGCAGTCAGACAGCAAAGAGCAAGCCAGGCAGAAGATGTATACATATAAATACATATATACATATGTACATATGTACATATGTATATGTATGCATGAGCCAAAGACAAAGCCAAAGGTAGAGAGCGAGCGAGAGAGCGAGACAAACTCCATCGAAGGCAAAACCGCAATTACCGTTGCAAGCTCCAAAAACAACCAACACCCAGGGACCCGGAAGAGTACACAAACAAAAACCCCAAGAAATGACACGGAAATTCTCCACTCTCCACTCTTCACTCTCCACGCTGCCACTCTCCACTCTCTCCCGTTCTCTCCATTCTCGTGTTTGTTTTTGCCGTCTGCCATGGAATATGCAATTAATATTTAGATTGATTTTCAATTGTTACAAAAACAAAACCAGGAATAAAATCCAGCAGCGTCAACGAGAACGTGCCCTGTGGCAAGGGCAGAGGCAGGAGCGGGCAACATGAGCTATTGAATGCTGCATTCAAGCTGTTCCGCTGTACAAAAAATTGCTGTAATTTAGCACGGCTCTCTCGGCTCTCTCGGTATCAATGCAACACTGGGCAGGAGGGGCAGGAGGAGGTAGGCGAGGAGGAGCTGTGCTGTGCGGTTCGTGTACGTGTGTGTGGGCGCCCATTGCCAATGGATAACGTTATCCATATCCGATTTGTGTAATGGCTAGCAAGAGGCAAGGGAGGGGCAGACGGCACTGCCATTCAATAATCTTTCACTTTGCTCATAGAGGGGAACGGAAAAAGAATAACTATTTCTGAGCGTCGAGCATGGAAATGGAAATGAAAAAATAAATTTGCCACATGGAGAGACAGGAAGAGAATTCTTCTTCATAATAAAATGGCATTTAAAGTAAAGTGGAAATTGTCTCTGTTGGGATTTCTGCTTGCTTTCATTTTCGTAGGAAATTCGAGTTGGGGACAATTGGGGAAATGACAAATGACCAACTGGAATTGAATGTGCCGTGATGGGCAGGGGGGGGGGTTGGGTGTAGGAATGATTGCATTATAGATGATGTGATTGGCCCACCCAGCAGCCGCCCCTTTCGCAGGAGAGGAGAGACATCAGCCTGGTTACTGGGTATTTATTTGTATTCAATCTGTTTGGTTTGCCTGTTTGTCAGTTGGTTTTCAAATGTTTGCACGAACAAACACAAAAGACGCAGGCACTAACTTCGTCCGCTTCTACCTGCCACTGCCACTGCCACTGCCACTCCCCCTTTGGGGCAACCGCCGACAAATTGTGTCAATATTTGTTGGCACTGACGAGCCAAGAGATTTAATTTCCTCTTATCGACTCCGATGACTAGCAGCTGGCAAAGCCACACGGGAATGGGGTGGTAGGGAGGGGTTAGTGCTGAGCGGAAACTAGAAACAAAAGCCAGTTACTGCTCTCTCTCCATCATCAATACTGCTCAAACAGAACAGACTGGATGCTCTTTAAGTTGGCTCGTTCACACGGAATGCCGCAACAACGTAGATCGGAGGACCAATCTCTGACCAATCAATCCATCTGCACGTGCTAGCCACATCGAGCAGGATGGCTAGCCTCCAATCAATATTAAGTGCACGCTGCCAGAGCTAGCAGCATCACGAAATTTATGCGGACCAGAGCTTGATTGACCGATTAGAGAAGAGTAAATCCCATCTACCAAGGGCCACGGCAGACCGAAGCAAAGTTATGCATAATGGGGAAGCATTTAGCTGGAGCCACTACTGCCCCCACACACAATTTGTATGCCAGTCGCGTATCAATATCCAGCGAGAATGAATCCTCAGCAAATACAAAATAAAACCCAAATGTGTACAAAAAATCTGATACATTTCCTTCGCCCCTCTAGCCAAGTTGGACGGCGTCAAGACGTACATGCGGATGCGACGTGTGCCTAATCATTTGCAGGTGAAGGTCATCAAATGGTTCGATTACCTGTGGCTCACACAAAAGTGCTCGGACGAGGAGCGCGCCGTTTCCTGTCTTCCTGATAAATTAAAGGCAAGTGCAAGAACAGGAATTTTGTGCATAATATTAACCCAAATGTGCCACCGTTTCTTTGCAGGCTGAAATAGCAATTAACGTCCATTTAGATACACTTAAGCGGGTTGAGATATTCCAAAATACCGAAGCCGGTTTCCTCTGCGAGTTGGTGCTGCGACTGCGGCCGGTGCTCTTCTCGCCCGGCGACTACATCTGCAGGAAGGGTTAGAGTCTTTAACTTCCATAAATGTACATATGTATGTACCTTACATGTACCTTTCTCCACTCTCTAATCGCAGGCGAGGTGGGCAAGGAGATGTACATTGTGAATCGTGGACGTTTGCAGGTGGTCGCCGACAATGGAAAGACGGTGATGGCCTCATTGAAGGCTGGTTCCTATTTCGGCGAGATTAGTATACTCAATATGGGCACAGCAGGTAAAGAACTTGGTAAATATCCCGTTTTAGTGCGACAGGCGGAACAATAACGATAACGTGTAACTACAACAAATCAACCAACCAATCAAACTCCCCCAAACATCCGTAGTAACTATCAGCACAAAACAGACACAACCACAGCCACAGACACTCTCTCTGTTTATGTCTCGCAAATATATATCTAAATAATAAATATATGCAATTCTATGTGTGGAATGTATTTGTCTAAGTGTTAGCCCTGCCAGAGATACGAGTAATTATTTACCTGCCAACTACAACTGCCTCCATCCTCCAGAAGCTCACTTTGAGCAGCACTTTAAAACATTTCCCTCAATCCCTGTGTTTCGAAAAATGGCTTTTAATTTGTTTTTATTAGTTCGTAAATTGTGTGAATATTTTTTGTTAACTATTCCCTTAGTTTTAAGCCAAAAAGTATATTACGCTGAACGCTACGGACACACACACACACACAGTGGTTGCAAAATTAATGAATGTCAAATGAAATTATTGCACCTGCATGCGCTCACACGTGAATATTTTTATTTTGAATTTCTTCAGCGCTTTTTTTAACACGTAAATGTGAGCCATCAAAATGGCCGCAGCAATTGCGGTTTGTTCATGCACAAATAACCAATTTTGCTGAGCTTAATGCCGCTTTAATTTTGATGTACAATGTAATTGTCGGGGCCGACAGCTGGCACACTGAAGTGTGAACACACAAATGGCTGCAGGCCACAGAAAGGTGAACCCCCCCACACCACACATTGTCATAATTAACAGTAGTGTGTGTCTGTCTGTGTGTGTGTGTGTGCGTTATGCAACTGCCACTGCCACTGCAAGTGGAAGATATCTTTTGCATACTTGAAACCGTCACAAAAGTCAAAGCTGCTTCCCTGCCAAACTAATTGAGTTTCGGCTCTCTCTCTCTCCAAACTTAATTCCTCAGACAATAATTAAACTTGCTCCGGAAAGTTATTCCACTGCTGACACAGTCACTGCTTCACCCTCTCCTTTCGACAGACACACACACACACACCTGCAGCAATTAGAGACTACAAATCGAATTGTTGAAAGTTCTTTTGTGTTGCTGCATGATTTAAGCACTATTCGGGGCACTCAATTGGGCGGAACATTTGCCTGGGGGGGGTGGGGGGGGCTAAATATTAAACTTGAATTTAATTTATCACGCTAGCTCCCTCCATTAGCATCTCTAACCTATATTTATGTCTCTATCTCTGTCTCTATATAAGTCTCTCCCTATCTCGCCCTCTCTCTGATTGTCTTCTGAGTCCATGTTGATGTTGTTGTATTGCTTTGCCTGGCCGTAATTTAAACGTTTTTCTCCACACGTACTTGCATTTGAGATTTTGTGTAATTGAAATTAAGTATACGACCCCATTGACACGAGCCAAATAAGTTCACAAATTCGATTCTGCTTGTGTTGGGCAGGGCAAATGGGGCACGGGCACTAGGGGGAGGGTGGATACACACACATCTACCCTTAGATTTTAATCAAAACAAACTCCATAGATCAAATATTGCCTGGTTCTAGCCTACTCTCCCCCAAAACTGCCCATCTCCAGCCACTTGCTCCATGTGGCATGCAATTTTAATGTCTTGCTGCCTGCCAACAGGCAGAATCGAACGACAGACACACACTGACAGCGCGTCATGGAAATTCTACGCTTGCAAAGACCATTAAACTTTTCCCTCTCTCTCTCTGCGTTGGCAAACATTTGCCTTTGCCAACTCTCCCGGTTAAAAAAACTGAAACAGGCAACAGACGCACAGCCAGCGTACGGTCGGTGGGCTACAGCGACCTGTTCGTGCTGAGCAAGAAGGACATGTGGGACGTGCTGAAGGAGTATCCGGCGGCGCGTGTACGTCTGGAGTCGATAGCCGTCAAGCGCTTGGAGAAATACAAGAAGGCGCCACTAGAGAAAGGTAGGCCAGGCCACTTACTCGTCTACCCACTTATTTACCCTCATCCCAGGGCTCTTTGCCTCAGCCACTCCTCAATCCCATACACCCCGAACAAACACCACTCGAAAATTCAAAGATACGAACACGATTGCCCCCAGAAAATAACACGATTCGATTGTTTTTGCCTCTCCGTTCCATCTTTCCTTTCCGTTTCCATTTCGTTTTCGCTTTCGTTTCCTTCCGCTTGCTGGATGAACATTTCGGTTATAAAAACACAGTCAAATACTTTAATGTAGTTGCCATGGGCCGGTGCCAGTCGACGCCCGGTCTGGTCGAGAGCTGTGGCCGCACCTCGCTCGAGGACATGTGGCTGCCGCCGGCAGCAACGCCACCAGCACCAGTACCCTTATCCTCGCTGCTGCAACATCATCTGACACATCAGCAGCAGCAGCAGCATCATCAGCAGCAGCAGCACCAGCAGCCGCCGTTACATCAGCACCAGCAGCAGTCTTCGACGCAGCAGCAGCAGCAGCAGCAGCAGCAGCAGCATGGGTACAGGTGAGCCTCTCCCACATCCTTCCACTCTTACTTTCACTTATTTTCTCTCTTCCTCCCCGCCCCCCTGAAGCCCACGCAGCTATGCGGACCGTCTGGTGCGTGCCACAGACTCACCCAGATCGGTCAGCCCCAGTGCCCATGGGTCCGAGGAGCGTCCGCGCAGTCGGGCCGCCTCACATCACTCGATACGACCCCAGTCGCAGCCCAGCCACTCGGGTAAGGCCATGAAATCACGACACGGCATAAGCCTGCATAAGTCATCATCAATCTGTGCCGAATCTTCCACAGGTCACATCTGCGACTCGAGCTCGCAGCTGGAGTGCTATGGCGCGGGCGTGGGAGCTGCTGGTGGAGGCACAACGCCGCTACTGGGCTCCCACGAGGTGCTCGAGGACGAGATCAAGCGACTGAGGGAACGACTGCACACGGTGGAGTCGGAGAATCAGGCGCTGAACACAAAACTCTCGCAACAGCAGTGGGATCTGGAGAATCGATTGGCCGAGATCGAGATGCAGATCTGTGGCGTATCGTCCACGTCCAGCGTGGATCCAGAGAACGAGACGGAGGAGCTGGAACGGAATCGAGAGAGTATCATATAACACGGGAGCGCGCTGCCCCATCAGCCGATCGGTATGGTGTACATATCATGTAACTCATGACTCCTCCATGATCATCATCGATCATTCGACAACCGCAAAAACATCAATCAGCAACAGCAAAATGGCGTGGAGTGAGCGGAGCAGAATGGCTGTGAGAATCGCCATCATTCCTCATACAGCATTAGTATCTCTCTCTCTCTCTCTTTCTCTCTCTATCTCTCTGTTATGTGTGTGTGTGTGTGTGTGTGTGTGTTTCGCCATCACTCTCTTCGTGTTTCTGTATCTATGAAGAATTGTTTAACTAACCAGAAAACCCCCCAAACCATAACCAGGAGCAGCAGCAGCCACACAGCAGGAGCCCCAGGAGCCAGCCAGGATTGAAGTTGGGACACAGACCCACAACAAGAGCAGCTCTTTGTAGGATAGCGGCATACATCACCCAAGATGTTCAATTAAAATCTTTTACGAAAGAAGCGACAACTCACAACACAAACAAAAATAATGGCACTGCCTTAAACAAAAACCAAACACCACAGAAGGACGATGCCGAGTGTACATACGAGTGAAGTGGCGTTGCCACACAAAGAGATCAAACGTAGTCTAAGAAAACCAACCCAAAGAAGGGAGATCTGCAGATCGTATTGTAATTTAAGATATCGGAAAAGCTTTACTAGATATTCCGAAAATAACTTTTCGCAGCCCCATAACTCGTTGCCCCAAAAAACTTACACTTACACTTACACTTTTTCCATGCTAAAAACCAAACAGAAATATACTCGTATTGAGATTTATACAAATATAGAAGACATCATTAGGCCTAGACTTTTCGCCTGTTTTTAAAGGATAAACTAGACAAACCGAAACGGGTACCGAAGCTCCTCCCATTGTAAATACTTTTGCTCCAGGGCTTAACTAGATTTATTATCGCTAGATGGGAGACCCAAGGAATAGATCATCTAACAATTAACTAAAAGATTACTTTAACTCGTGAGTGTAAACAAAATGAAATAACTCTAAATCTAATATATACCGTAAATAAATCTATTGTAATATTTGCTAATTCATAAATTCATAAAAGAAAAAGAAGAAAACTATAAACTAACTAGATGTGTATATGGGAAACGATTTACTTTATAATTGAAAATAATGCATAAACAATTTATGGAGACAACTAAGTGAATATTTCAAAAATATTTGTACTATTGGAAAAGAACTGCCAGAGCAAAACACCACACACCAAAAGAAAACACAAACAAAAACAAAAGCAAAAACAAAAGCAAAAACTACCAAAACCCCAAACCCAAGAACCCCTAAAGAACGTCTCTTAGCCAGAATCAATAAGTGAAGCTAGTATAAACGAGTAAAACACTTTTAATGCAATACTAAATTGTACCACTATATGGGTATATCTATGTAGCAGATAAGAAATTAAAAGTCTAAATGTATTACAAACTTAGTTAGTCGCCCCGAAGCCCAAGTCTTAAACCTAAAACCAAACCAAACCAAACTGAAAACCAATGCTGAAGATTGTAGTCGACACGAAAGATATTAGGATAGAGGAGCGCGAAAAGGTGGTAGAGAGTGAGCGACAGGGAGGGTTCTGTAGGTAGAACACAGAACGCAGTATAGTCATCCCCATAATATGGGGGCCGCGAGGATGCGAGTTAGTTTAGCTGTAACTCTTAGCTATACTTAGTTATACCATTAGACGTGTACAAGAGCAGACCAATGGGGAGATCCGGATCGGTTCTACGCGGACAACCAGAGATGGTCTCAATAAGGAAATCTAATAAATAAATATACATATAGCGATAGCTTGAATAAGATTCTTAACTTTAGTGAGTGAGCTAAAGATGCGTTTGAGTATCTGCTAGAAGGGAAACAGGAATGGAAAGTGAAATTATCGGTAGCTGTAACGGAAACTCATTTCATTCTGCTGACCATGGGATGATAGTTGAAACTCTAAAAATTTTGTTAAGATTCCGCTCCTTAGATTTTTGTCCATGATGTAAACTTAATTTCGAACTACATACACGTAAATTCCTTTTTCCATATTTTATTGTCAACCTAATTACATTTCGGAATATCAAAATAATGGATTAATAACTATAATTAATAATTAAAACAATAAAAACATCAAATGGGGTTTCATCAAAGACGAAAACATACATATACCAATGCAATGGATGGAGTGCAGCAGCGGGAGTTTAAGATTCTTTAGTTAGCCCACAAATTAATGTTGAATAATGTAATTGAATTTGAATTTTGATGGCTTATTAGCACGCTTATCGCAGGACGGCACAGATCCCAGCCCTGTCACGTTTGTTAGTCTTATCAATCCCATTGATTTCTTCGCAGTTTTCTGTTAGAGCGCATTAAACGTAAACATAAACATAAACTTATATACCATATACTATATACATATATCTATTTGTTGTTGGGAGTACTCGTGTAATACAAGGAACTACATCGATTTGGTTGTGTTGTTGATGCAAAGTGTGGTGGGAGTGGGTGGGAGCTTGTGTAGTGACAATTTTTAACTTAATTTTATGCATTGAGATCTATGAATGAAAAACGGAGCAGCAAGAAGAGAACATTTAAAGCTTTATTTTTACCATAAATTAATTAATTAATTTATAAGATTAAACAATTGACTCCATAACCAAACAAGAGAAGATAAGAATCCTCGAATGAGGCATTTTATAAGTCGATCACCAAACATCACTGATCAGCTCGAATCAGTTCAGTTTAGCAGTTTGCAGCAGGTAAATTGAGCTTATCGTGTGAGCATTTCAAAGCCGTTTACATTTGCTGAACCACTCTCTGAGATCTGAAAAGGGTAAAATGAAAAAATAAAATAAAACAAAACTAAAATACAAATAAAATCAAAACAAAACAAAAAACATTCTTAAGATATGAACAAACATTCTGTGTATTTTCTGTGGTGCGGGGAATCTATCCAACGTTCGATTGGGGCTGCGTGTCGTAATCAATGAGATCTGAGAAAAGGCCGCAAAATTGTTCAATTACAACAGTGGAAACGTGGAAACCACACACTCATCGCAGTGCGCTGCCGTTGCGACGCCTGCAATTAACGAGCTGCTCGAGTAGTCGGAAGAGTCCATTAAACGGCTCGAGAACGACTCTCGAAATACCTGGATAGACGGCACCCGAAGCCGGACCCAAACCCGAACCCGAACCCGAACCGCTTTGAGCGAATTGAGAGCCCAAAACAAAAGTGCTAACAAAGCTGGCAAGCAAAACAAGAAAAGATCAGCCACGAAACGATGACGTAGCGAGGTTCGTTCCATTGCAGCTTCGAGCACCGAATTCCCACTTGCACTGGAAGGCTGAAAAGCTCGCGACTGGAAGCAGAGTCAGTGGATCTTGAAGCTAGCGGCTGGAGCTGCCAATTTTTAGTCATTGTGAGCCACTCGTGCGCGCTGGACGTGTTTTCAAAATTTGATCGCTAACCCCTCCGCGCGTTTCCCCCCCCCGCACACACCCACAACGAATCGAAGTGTAAGCAGCAAGTGCCAAAAGGGAGACAAAAGCCCAACAAGACCCGAGACACTATCCATATGTACAGAATATGTATGTATACTGTGTGTGTGTATGTAATGGAATGCGCATATTTGTGCCGTGTTCCCCTCCCCTCTGACTTTTTAATAACTTTTGATCGCTCAGTGCCGCGTCATTCTCCCCAACCCCAACCCCAACCCCCTCCCCTGCCCCGCCTGCAGCGCTGTCTAACGTTCATCTTAACTATACTTTTTTTTATGGATCTTCATGTGTCTCGCTCTTTGCTTTGTGTTTAATTTTTAATTCTTTTTTTTCGTTCGCTTATTCCGCTTTGACTTTGTTGTTCCGCTCGCTTCGAGAGAGATAGAGAGAGAGAGAGAGAGAGAGAGAGACCATTCCGAGGGGTGCCCTGCCGTGTGGCGTGGCGGACTTGTGTGTTCTAATTATGAGCTGCTGCTTAAATTAGAGTCAGATACTCGTATTCGTATTCGCATTCGTATTCGTATCTTTTTTGGTGTGGAATTTGTGCTAAACACGTGAATGGCTCGGAGTGGAGCAACGGCGGCTGGAGCCTGGCGTGTGAATCGGCCAAAAACTAGCCCACAATCGCGTACTCATAAATACTAAAAGTCGCAGGCGGGGCGTGGGGTCTCGTAGTCCAACGAAATTATACAGATAGCTGGACGGGCCGGGCTGGGCCTAGCCCATTGCATAATAAGGCGAATGCGCGGAGAAGCGAAAACAAAAACCGAAAGCGAATCTGAATCTGAGTCTGAGTCTAAGTCTGGCTACAAGTCTTGGGTCTTGGGGCGGAATCTGAATCTGGTTTTCCGCTCTTCGATTGGTTTTCTCTTAAGTTTTGGCTGGCACGAGCGGAAGACCGACTCTCTGGCAACCTTTTCAGGCTTTAAAGCGAATAAACGTAGCAAAAGTAATGAGCAAAAATTAAAAAAACAATAGAACGCAGACACCCAGAATGTGGGCACAGACACAGGCAAGGCTTGGCTGCGCTTTGGCGACGCCTAACGGCATTAATCAAATGACTGAAGACACAAACTTGGCCAAGAGCCAAACCGTGTATCGCTTGGAGGGTTTTTGTACTTGTGTGATGAACAGCTAGCTATAAATGTTGCCAAAAGCAAACGCTCGTTCCATAGAATCATGCCCTAATGAGACATCATTTACTGCAAAGGCGTGGCCCCCCGCCAAACCCTAACCGTTTGGCATGTGTCTGGGCCGACAGGAAGTAGACTTAGGCAGCAAAGAAAACTAAAGAGATCTAACAGAATTGCATTCCGTTGTCTAAGCATGGAAAACTCAATTCCAGAATGTCTAACTATAGCTCTTAGCTGATCCATTCATCGTCGTAATTATGGTTCTGGCTGGTCTCTGATATTTCTAACTTAATGACGTTGTCTTGGAATATTTACCAAAAAATATATTCCCACAGCAGCAGAATTTCTTAACAGAGTTGTAGCTCTCAAAATCCCCCAAACAAGTCATTCACAAATCAATGACCAGTTGGCTGTTGGCTGTTGGCTGTTGGCTTTGGGCAAAAATCAAACTTGAGATCGCACCCACGTCTAGAACGAGGCGTTGAACCACGACATGTGGGTGGCTGTGGCGACACATTTGTGTAGGGGTTTTGGCAAGGCAAAAGCAAAAGCAAAAGCAACAACAATAACATATAAAATACTTATTCGGACAGCAAGCAAATCGAAAAGTGTAAAAAATACCAGCAGACACCTACGTGCGCAGCTCATTCTATGATATACCTCGAATATGGATATATTTGTACTGTTTATAGATTTGCCAATGCAATACTCTGACGCTGATATGTCGTTGAATATTTGTGCATTACGTAATGCCCTAAACTAGGTGTGTTGCCTGCCTGCCTCTTCTACCAATTTTAGTCACGACAAAACGCTGTTAACACTTTTCCTAGTTTGTTTGCTGGCCCTCTAAAGTGGGGATGGCAGGGGAGTGGAGCAAAGTTGACCAACTGTGTAAATAGCCAAACAAAGGCAGGCGGTCAGTGCGTCAGCGACATTCCAATTCCCATTCCCATTCCCATGACCTTGTTCGAGCTGAATATAGAACACCAGAGTGAGGTGGAGTCGAGTCGAGTCGAGTGCTTCGGGCTGCAACTAATTAGGTTCATTGCCAATGCCAAGTGTCAGTGCTCGTGGATGACA